ACCACTACTACCACGACGACGACGACTACTACTCCTACTACTGCTGCTACTACTGCTGCTACTGCTACTACTGCTACTACTGCTACTACTGCTACGACTACTAGTAGTAGCACGACTACTTCTAATACCAGCAGCCATAGTCGCAGTCGTAGTCGTCGTCATAGTTGTAGTCGTGCTCGTGGGAGCCGGCCTAGGGCGTAGGCGTTGGCGCAGGTGTAAGCGATTGCAGGTGTAGCCGTGGGAGCAAGAGCAGCAGCAGTAGCAGCCGCCGCCGCAGTAGCACCAGTTGGTAGGTCATTGTATGCTCCAAATGCAGCATGCCCGTTCATGCAGGACCATAGACAGACCAAATTATGATTGCACCATGAAGTTCATGTCATCATGTGCATGTTCAGCTAGTATGCTCAGGTTCATTTCATGACGGTGCTGATGCCTCTTTTGGAATGCGAGTGGTGGTTGTGAAGGTGGTGTTGATGCGTGACGATGATGGTGATGATTATGCGGGTGATGGTGATGATGATGGTGATGATGATGCTGGAACATGGCGGCGGTCGTCATGAGCGTTTTGTTTCGCTGAAACCTTGTTTCCGCCGCATAAAGATGATCCTTGAGCTGGTGCAGCTGCACCATCCCGCAGCCTTCTTGCAGCATTGCAGGATGTTCGCGTGGCTTTCAGCGTGGCGCTGTTTGATCGCAGCTTCACGGACGGTTCTGCCATTGCCACAGCTTCACGCGAGCTGCAGGTCTAGCCCATGCAGCTGTTGAGAACCAGATGTGCAAAGTTTGCTTGATGTCCTAACGAGATGTTGTTTACTTGTCTTTGGTTCAAGCGGCCTCCCGAGTGTTTATCGAGCAACATGTTCTCAACATGGGTAGGCTTCGCGTCACAAAACCAGACCCAACAAACGGGAAGATCATGTTATGAAAGATGATGTCCAAAGTCGTCACAACGTAGGAATATCCTACGACACGACTTTGGGCGGCAATGGTGTGTGTGCACTCGTTGAGTGAGGATAGAAAACCCCGCAGCCCACTTACAACTTGCAACTTAAAACACGGCTGCGCCTCGCAGCCTGCAAACTCTGCATTGCAGACGCTGTAGCTTGCAAGAATATGCTTTATGTTGTTTTCCGGCCAGAAGAACAAAGTGAAAACCCAGATCCCCAACCACCTAGCCGAAGTACTCATCAGTCTGTAGACCCTACGTCGTTTTCCCACATCCGATCTTGGCTGCGACGCAGACTGCTGGCACCTTTTCAAGATCCTCGGCTAGGAATCATTCTTGATGATGCTTACAGCCAGCAGGGCGGTACGAGATCTGAAGCAGATCTGTGGTGAGGATGAGCGGTGGTTCTTTGCTGCGGCTGTTTCAGCCCGAGCCTTACACTCTTCTTGCACTCCTTGCAAAGTCTGCCAACTCTGCCTTAGAGGTCCGAGTACTTTGATGCCCACTTGCACATGCACTACCTTTTGCGCATGGAGCAAAGTGGAGTGCAGGACTATCTAGCCGCTTGGCTTAACACGCGCCTCACTCTGCGCAAAAGCGCTGCTGGTCTAAGGTAAACGAGCTGTACAAAATGACGGATGATGATGTTGCACCTCGGGTTGCCGTGGTGGGTGGGGTCCTGAACCCTGAGCACTCGGTTGATAGCCAGGTGCTTCCATGCTAGGCTGGGAGCTTTCCAAATGGCCCCTGCATTTGCGGCGCGTGTTTTTGGTGTTGTATCACATTGCTTTGAGAATGTCGTCGCATACAGTGGATGTGCGCATGATGTCACGAGCTGCCTCAGGACTTTTATCTGCCGCAGCTGAGCCAAGTTGCGCTACTGCGATACAGCAAATCATCACTACATCGCTTTCTGCTGGACAAGGAAGCTTGCATCCAATCAGGGCTGGCTTCGCACAAGGCTTTGAGGACCTCAAAGCTCCAAGCGAGAGTGGAGTCACGAAAAAGCGCAGAATATGGATAACTTAGCCACAGATGTGCTTTCCAGAGCATTCGTGCACAGCACAATTCGATCCCCCAAGTGCGGAAGCTCGTGAGTTCGTCCGGAAGTGTGTGCTGCATGGTAGGGCTCAGCTCTTTAGTATTTTAATGATTTTCAGGGCCCTTTCGCCGAGATGTGGAGGGGGGTTCTTCTAGGAAGACGCACTCTTCCTCCCCTAAACCCCAAACCCTAAACCGTCTGCGAGGCCGCTCAGTCCATGCCCTTTGCGCTGAAGATACACTGGCTTGTCCGAAGCATCTCAGAGGAGCCTTGGCCTGGGTGGACGAGAGCTATTTATTACCACTGTCATTGGCAAGTTATTGGTATTATTATTATTATTACTTTTATTATTGTTATTATTAATATTCTTGATTATGATTGTGATTATTATCATCATCATATATATTTCATTATCGTTATAAACCCTGAACCTTAAGCCCCATGAGCTCTGAATCCGCCTTTCACAAGAGTTCAATGTTGATTTGTCCTTTCAAGCAACCGTGCTATGTACTCCTTCTAAGTGGCAGGAAGAAGTGTTCTGGACAGATTTTGATTGTTGAAGTCCGAGAACATGGCCCAGCGGAGTCTGCCTGGAGGACAAAACGCCAGAGCTGTACGAGAATGCAATGGCTATGTTGAGCCTCTGTGAAGCTGCGATGGCACCTTGGCGCGAAGCACGACATGCGAGTCCTAGTCTAATTCCACGAATCCTACTTTTCAGACTTTTGCGAACATTGCAAACCCTCTGCCTACGGTGTGAGTGTTCAAAACACAACCTGCGGTCTTTTTCAGGAAGATGTCTTGTGCGATCAAAGCGTCATCAGAGGTCAACTCGACGGTGGCGGTTGGAAAGACCGATGAGGCCGGCTTGCAGCTGTCGGAACGTCTCAGATTGAAGTGTTGTGTCTAAGGATTTTTTGGGGTCCTCAGCTTCTTTGGGCAAAGGCCAGCGCACGAAGCGGTTTGACGTCCGAAGGCCTAGGCCGCATAATCACGCCCAAAAAGCCTTCAAATCCTGCAGCAAACACACGAGCAGCCCATTTCTGAAGGCCTTAAACCCTGCACCTCCCTCAGCCCACAGCCGCGAAACCGGAACTTGGGATCCCTGATGCCAGAGGTTCCCCGGGCCCACAATCCCTCAGGCCGCCGACGGGCCACCTCGCGTCCAGCGCATGCTTAGGTGCTCAGACAGGGTGCTGATGAGTTCTAAGGGAGGTCGGTTTTGGGGGGTTTGGATTTGGGAACGGCTTGAGGGTCTTAGGTTCCAGCTGGGACTGTTGCATTCATGGGCCCGGATCTTAGGTTTTTGTTTGGAGAATCGTGTTGGAACAACTTTAAAGGGGCAACGAGCATCATAAGGATTGCGAGAAAAGAGCAGCTAGCAGACGCACCTGCCTCAACTTGCGCGCCGTGTGTCAACATCCGTTAAACTCTGGCGTAGATTTTTGCAAGACCCTTCACAGCTCTGTGGTACCAAGCCTCATCAGTGTTGAATATACTGTCCAATAGGCTGCCATGTTGTCACCCTACAATGCTATATCTCTGCATGTAAGACGGTGTGTGGACCCCTGACTAAAGCTTTTCGGTTCACCTTTACTAGAAACAGGTACCGCAAAAGACGCCCGATTCAGGAGAGCCCCTTCTGCAGACCTTTATTCATCCCACTGGAAACTTGCGACACTTTTTTGTGTTGAGTCCCGGCGGCAAAAGGCACGGAAAGCGATCTAGCATAAGATCACCACAAGACTCTGCAGAGCCCTAAACCCCTAAACCCTGAAAGCCTTCACGATGTCCTGCAGAATTCTCAGATGCCGTTGGCAGGTCCAGCTCGGATCCGAACCTCCAGTCGATCCGAGCTCCTTCCAAGGGCCGCGCACGGAGCCCTGAGTTTAGAGTTTAGGGCCTAGTTTGCGTTTCAGGGCATATATAAATGTGCAAATCTGTGCAAAATATATTACGGATAAAGCACTCGAGTATGAGATGGCCAATCCAACATAGTGGCATCGTCGTATCGTCCTGATTATCGCGAGGGGTCTTAGTTCAGGGTTTCGTGGTCTAGGGCCTGGGGCTTCCAGATGTAGCCCTGAGCGGACTTCGGGGTGAAAGTTCAGACCCTAGTAGGCTTTACGGTGCCGTGCAGGGGAGAGCCACAGAATAAGAGTCAGAAGAGCGATCGTAGTCAAGAAGTTGTGTCCGAGCATGCTTGTGCGCTACATCTTGCTGATCATATCGTTGACCCCATATCCCAGTCCAGCCTCAGGTCTCGTCAAAGTTTGTTGTCACACGCATTGTAGGAGTACTGAAGGCAACAACAGAAGTAGTGGTTGTGGCCTTCCTCATTTCGTACATTGATATAGGTAACAGAGTAAGAAACGTGTAAGCATAAATTGAAGTACCCACCGCCTGGAAACAGGATTAGCTTCATGAGGGATGCAGGAAAAGTCCTCGGAGCATTACCAGAAATGACGGTTCTTCGAGCATCTTCAAGGTGTCGTCCCACAGACCATGTCTACGTTTTTTATTTGTGCAAGAGTGCTTTTCGACAGCCGGATGCTGTGCTCTGTTGATCTTCAACATGCCAGAGAGGAAGTGGATCTTGCACATTATTTGTGTGTTTATACACGAGGCTGCAGAAGCATCTGCCTGCATGATTCCTGCATTCAAATCACAGGCAATGCGCAGAAAGATCAATGTCAGTGGGCTTGTGAGCCCTTCGGGAATATATGTTAGCTGAATTTTCCTATGGCCCAGAGGCTCTTGTTGGACTAGAGTGCTTCCTTTGAGCAAATATGGGTTCGAAGTTCCCGATGAAGAACTCGATTCCTGCGATGCACCGTTCTCGTGAAGGGTGTGTTGCATCTGTACGCGCATTGGTGTTCCGTGCCTTCATAATTTTTCCACGTTGGAAGATCTGTTGTGGCGATTTCGAATCACCAGTCGATAGCCCGTGCCAAACGTGTGACAATCGCTTCGTTTCCCTTCTGACGAGAGCCTGCGAATCCTATCGGACGCTTTGTCATGGTTTCTGAGGCCTTGAAGTCCAAGCCGCGCGTCCGAAGAAGCAGGACCCTCATGTCATACGACCCTCGAGCCGGCCACGGGGTTCTGCTGAAGGGAGTTCAAGCTGCAATCGTAGGCTTGCGGCTTCGCAGTGTTTGTTGTTGTGATGGTGGTGGTGGCGGTCGAAGGCAGCAGTGGTAAGCTCGTCGGTTCGAACCAACAGCAGTCGCAACAACTCAGATTTTGGAGAAGCTGTTGAAGTCTGTCCGAGCACCCCAAAGCCTACGAGCAGGACGCCCGGCGCCTCAATCCAGTCCCGCCCACGCGGGTATACGGAGGAGAGCGTTTCGTGGCCTGAATGGAGGGCTTGCGATTGTCATCAGAGTTTTCAAGAAGTGCACCCTAAACCCTCAACGCTGAACCCTAGGCCCTATGCGGTGGTTGCTGTAAAGCCAGCTTTTGCCCCCTGTAGCTTGAGTGCGGTCTCAGGTGCCGCCGACTCCAACTGACGAAGGGGGTGAACTGGAAAGTGGGGAGGCCGTTTGGGTGCTGCGGGGATTCGGGGTCCCTTGGAGTGTGGGGCATGTTGGTGTAAGAGTTCAATGCCTTAGATCCAAAAACCTAAACCTCAAATCGCGGTGTATTTTGAGGTTCTGACGCATCCACAAGGTCTTGCGAGCTCTGCAATCTTCGGTCTAGATTTGGGAATTTGTTGTGCAGCTGTTCAGGATTCTCATGTTCCTTAAAATTACACAAGACTACACCGAATACGCACGAAAGCGGAGGCATTTTCGTTGTTGTTGTTTGACGTGCCAATCCCCAGGAAGACGCAGGCCTTTGGAAACCCTAAGCCAAAGCCGTTTGGCATGCCAGGCCCGCTTCAATCCACCCCCGCGTCGCCAACTGTCAGGGGCCACGCTCCCAAAGTCTGTTTTTGTTTGGCCGCTTTAGGGTTTGGGAAGTTCACAATAAGATGGGCGATGCGTGTCTATGGTGATACCCTGCCATGTGCAAGAAAGTTTGGGGAGTTAAGATTTAGTGTCCAGGGATGTTCAATCTGGGGTAGCCGGGTGGCACAAGTCCACGGCACAGTCGCCGCCTTACATTTGCATGGCCAAACAAGCGATGTTACGGGTTTACAGTTGGGTTTTTCTTCGTGGTTTGTGTTTTTCGGGTCAAAGACATCAGGGGTTGGTTGCTGACCGGTGTATTTCAGGCTTTGAAGTTCGTGTTGGTCTCCCGTGTAAATAGCCAGACCTTCGCATGACCTCGAGATGGCTAAGCTTTGCAGCAAGGACAGCTCCCTGACGGACGAAGAGGCCGAAGAGCACGAAGAAGCTGCATGCCAGGCCGACTTGCGGACATCCTTGCCCGAGGCACGACCAACGTTTCCGGCCAAGTCTTCAACCCATGGGGTTCAACCAGATGGTACATTTCCACAATGTTGGCACATGTCACCTGCAACGTTTCTTGACGTTTTTTCTGAAGGTCGAAGCGCTTAAAGCTGCTGCTATACGACATCTCGCCGCACTTGCACCTTACCGCAACGGCCGATGCACTTCATGCCGTAGAGAACATGATGATGTGTGGGGCATAGTGAAGTCCCGTGATCTAGCCCTCTGCGATCCAGGGCTTACCTGCCGAACCATGTATGATAAAGCTATGAAGCACGCCGAAGTAGCCGTGCAGCCCCTTCCGAAGCTGTGGTGGGGAGGCAGCAGGGAAAGCAGGCACCAAAGTCCCCAAACTTCTGCCCGCAACACGAAGCCTCGAACCAAACCCTATACCCTAAACCCTCTGGCTAGCACTTTTGAAACAGAGTGGCACCACGCCACGAACACAACATGGACTGCTGTGTCGTTGACAGATGGGCGATATTCACTGCGTCATGCATATTGTTTCTTTTATTGATTCTTAGCGCTATACTATCTGTCGGGCTCTTCTTCGCTCATGCTTTGGACGTATGCGAATTGATCCCTCTGTCACGTTGCCCAGCATGTCCACGTAGCAATGTCGGACACTTATCACCATGCCAGCTTTTGCGAGTGTGTGAGTCGAAACCCCTAAGCCCCAAACCGGCATGGCATGGAAAGCCCAGGTCCAGCAGCAGCGAGGTGCCTTGGGCGGG